AGCCCACACAATCACGTGAAGCAATTCCTTAAAATCTCTCTTTCTCTCTGTCTCTCTCTCTCCCTATCCATTTCCATAGGTGATGGTATCCCTGGAAGGCTTTGAAAGGCGAATATAGAGCAGGACACACCTTCCTCGTTCTGCACACCTACGGTTAAGGGTTGGATAACTACTTGGCTCAAGACATCACATAAATGTAACATCCCAGCCCCTCCCTCCCCCTGAGTGAAATGTCTTGCAGGACCGAGGGCTGAGGCAGAGGTGGAATTGATGCCCCCATCCCAGAGCCCCTCCTTCACCAGCTGGCCAGAGTCCCCTTCCGAGAGAGTGGGGTCAGAGGGTGGGCTTTGCTGGGGAAAAGGGGATGAGAGGGAGCAAGGAAAGGCCAGGGTGTGGGAGCTGCTCTTGAGGTCAGGCCTGCTGGGTGCCCGGGTTGCAGAGTCAGCGGGTGGGGAGGTCCCAGGCGCAGAGGAGCTGCCTGGGGGTGGATGGCCCAGGCCCCCATCACCTCACCACCCTGGCCTCCCATCAGAATGCCCGTTGAATGAGGCTCCACTGGCAGCCAGAGTGGTTTTCCTAAAGCGCGTGTCGTGTCACTGCCACGATTCAAGGTCCTTCGGAGGCTTTCCTGTGACCTTAGGAGAAAGCCAAAAGTCCTTCACCTGACTTACAATGCTCTATGTGACATGGCCACGGCCAGGCCAGCTTCTCCCCCACCCCCAGCCCTGGCCAGATGGAACTCACCAGCCCCGTGCACATGCACTTCTCTCTGCCTGGAACATCTTCTCACATGCCCCTCCCCATGCCCAGCTCACCTCAGGGTCTCACCTTGGACACCCAGCTCCCTCCTGTCATTCTACATGGCAGCCCTGCTCCCCTCCTCTGAGCCCCCAAGGCCCTGGCTCAGCGGCACCCCCAGAACTCCTATGCAGGAAGGCCTTAGATGCAGCCATCTGCTTGGGTGGCTTTGGGGGGCCTGATGGTACTCACAGGGAACTCCCCTGCTCCTGCCCGCCCCCTCCCCAGAACGGCCACGGCTATGCTGTGGCTGCCTGTTTCCACGCCTCAGACCACCTGGTACATGGTGCAGCCTGGCACACAGTGGTGCTCACTAAGTATCGTCCAGTCCGTGCCCAGGGTTCTCCCCTTTGCTGTCTGGCTGGGTGACCTCGTACCAATCCTTCCCCGCTCTGAGTCTCCTGAGCTAATTAGAACCTTGCTTTGATTTGCAAACTCTGAAGTTCTGGACCATACAAAGGGGGCTGATTATGGCACCCTAGGAATGCGTGCTCACGACACGTGGTGGAGGTTGTTTAAAGTGTGTTACGAAACAGCAGGTAGAGTCAGAAGCCTGTTTTTACAAAAACTTAAAATAACTACAGTCATGCGTCTCTTGACGATAGAGAAATGTTCTGAGAAATGCATCGTCAGGCAATTTCAATGTTGTGTGAATGCCACAGAGGGCACTTACACAACCTAGATGGTCTAGCCTACACACCTGAGCTGTATGGTGCTAATCTCATGGGACCACCGTCATCCACGCGGTCCGTTGTTGACCAAAACGTTGTTATGTGGCACATGACTGTATGCATATGTGTAGAAAATAACTACCATCTCTTGGGACTGGTGTCCGGGCCGGGCCCTGATGTGCTAAGCATTCTACTGTGTATCATCTCGCTCTTCCCTCCAACCCTGTGGGCTGAGTACCCCTGGGATCTCCTATATAGATGAAGCCAAGGCCCAGAGAGGCCCCCCAGCTAGTGAGGGGCAGAGCTGGACTTGACCCAAGGTTTGCCAGGTCCAAAGGCCGCACCCGCTTCACCAGCAGGCCGCTGGCGCCTCCGTGCAAGTGGAGGATAATAATAACTCCCACTCATAGGGTCGTTGGGAGGATTAAACGAGCTAAGAGATGCAAAGCCCTTAAAGCGGCTCCTGGCACAGCCTGAGGGCCCAGTAAGTGCCGTCACCCACAACTACAGGGGACAGCCTCTGGGCAGGCCCTGCGACAGCATGCTCAGAAACGTTAACAGTGGTCTTCTCCAGTCTTGGGGTCACAAGTGATCGTATTTTTTTATCTTTTTCACAATGATCAGGTATTACTTAGTATTTCTTTCTTTTTAAATTCTTGCATATAAGATGCCCTCAGTAAGCTGTCAGTCTCCTCAAGGTAGGCCCTGAGATGTCTGAGTCACCCCCTAGGCTCCCCCAAGGCCTAGCACAGAGACCCCCAGTAAAGGATCATAGCAGGGAACAGCCCAGATGAGACCCTCCCAGCCCAGGGTCTCTGGCCACATGCTTAGCAGGGGCCAGAGTTGGGGTGTGGGGTGCCGTCAGTGCCTGGAACTGGCCCAAGCTAAGCCTGCCCTTGGCTGGCATTCCCCAAAGACACAATGAGATGGCTTTTCCAGGCCCCAGGGGAGCAGTGGGGGCAGCCGTGATGTGTGAGACCTCCGGCCCTGAATCCACCAACAGCTGTGACCACTTCAGCTATTTTAAACCCTCGGGCACCCGGAGGCTCCCGTCACACCAAACCCTAGCTGTAGCCCAGCACCACGGGCCCTGAGCCAGGGGCAGGAGCCCTGAGTGTGGGTCGGTGGGTCTGGGTGGGATTTTTTAAGGAGAGGGAGTTTCATTTTTTTTTTTTTTTTAATTTACTTTTCCCCCAAAGCCCCAGTAGATAGTTGTATGTCATAGCTGCACATCCCTCTAGTTGCTGTACGTGGGACACGGCCTCAGCATGGCCGGAGAAGCAGTGCGTCGGTGCGTGCCCAGGATCCGAACCCGGGCCGCCAGCAGCGGAGCGCCCACACTTAACCGCTAAGCCACAGGGCCGGCCCTTGGAGTTTCATTTCTTGAGCGCTCGCCTTGTGCCAGACACCGTGCTAGCATCTTCCTTACGTTGTCTCATTTAATGTCATCCTTACATCTATGCTGAGAGATCAGTGCATTCACAGATGAGGAAAATGAGGCTCCGAATGGCAGGGTGAATGTCCAAGGCTCCACAAAGGCAGGTTTCCTCATCTACCAATTAAGACACCACATTCCTCCTCTGCTCTCATGCACCTGCCCCTGTCCCCCCTCCCCACGGCTGTGCAAGTTCCGATCTTGGCTCTGCCATTCTTAGGAGCTGTGAGACAGAAGGCAAATTCTTCAACCTTTCTGCGGCTCCCTTTCGTCATCTGTGAAGTGGCAGGGTTACTGGGAGGGTATAATGATCTCATCCTGATACATGAAAAGTGCCGCTGGAACACCCCTGGCACGCAGCAAGCACACAGGAAGGGCCCGATGTTACCCCTTCTGTCCTGGCAGTCATGCCTTCTGCCTGACGTTGTCACTGCCCTGCTCCTGTTGTGACCTGCCCCGGCCTCCCTGGGGGTGCAGTGTTCCTCCCCCGACTCTGGGCCCCAGCTTCCCAGTGGGTGAAATGAGGGTGTCATGCTCACTGATCCCCAGGAAGGTGGGAACCCTGGCAAATGCCCAATATCTGCCACATAGTAGGGGCTCAAAATTAGTTCCAGCAGAGGGATGCTCAGAGCCCACCACCAGCATCTCGCAGTCAGCTCCAAGCTGCACAAGTTTTCTTCTCCTTTGGCAGGTAGCCACCCTCGAGCTGTCTCCTGACTGGATGATGCACTCAGCAGCCGCCAGGAGCCTACCACAAGTTACCAGCATCTCCCTGGGTCTGTGCAGCTTCTGGGGCAGATGACCCCCTAGCCCAACTCAGGCCTTCCCCCTTCCCCACCCCCATTCCTCCCAGATCTAGGCTACCCAGGAGCAGCTGGCTCTTCACTATCTCCTAATTTGGGCCTCCTGGAGGAGGCCACTGGGGCCAGGGGGCAGGGTGTGTCTCAGCTTGTGAGACACTTGTGAGCCCCTACCCTCCTATTCAGGCACATTCCCTCCCAGGGCTCCCACCCCCCCCCAGAACCCCACCCCGTCTTAAACATGCACCCCTCCAGCCTGCCCCATCCTTCTTATAACCTCTGCCCACTCACACCCCCACTCCATGTCCCCTCTACCAAGGACCACTTACTCCTACATGGCTGAATTATCTGAACAAGCCCTGGCTTGGTTTCAGAGCTGGAAGGGTCTGGGATAGGGGTGGGGGCTGGTTCAGGCCCCCACTGATGTCGTCCTGCAGCTCAGCCTCCTCAACACACAAACTGACCTCTGCCGTGACACCCTCCCTCGCCCAGGTCCCAGGCCAGAATGGTGCCCCTCATTGCCCCTCCACGGGAACACCAATATTTGGGTCCACAAACACTGGTCAGATCAGTCCCCTCCTCTCTAACTCTCTCAGGCAGACCCAGCTGGGGTCTTCATCCACCCTGCCCAGGTGCACCTGCATGCAGGGCAGCCAGAATGGCCCCTTTCACTTCCACTCCTGACCACTCCTCGCTGAGGAAGCCATGCCAAGGCTCCCATCGCCCACCCACCCATGCCTTGGCTTGGCATTGTGGCCCTGTAGGCTGCTGGGCTCCCACACGGACCCCTCTCCGTTTCTCCTCCGGTACCACGGATCTGATTGTGGGAGGGGGAGGGGGGTGTCAGGCTGTTTCTGGCTTCCTGGCTTGGCTCAGGCGGCTCCCTCTCCTCCTTACCCCTTAGTCTGCGAACGCCTCCTTTAAGAAGGCTCAGGTCCCCGACCCCAGGCGGGGTTCGGGCACCCATTCCCTCTGGGCTCCCACCGCCTCCTGTCCTCGCCCCTGTGGCAGCTCTGCGTTTGCATTATCTGCCCCGCAAGGCTGGCGGCGCGCGGAGGGGAGACTGGCCCTGCGTCCCGGCGCCCGGCTGCTAGGAGCCCACTGAAAGTATGTCGAATGAACGGAGCAAACCTAGCGGGGAAGGGAGAAATTGGCAACTGCTGACCTCACCCCGACCACAAGGGGGCGGGAAGAGCTGGGGAGGGCGTGGCCGCGCTTGACGGACGGGCCCGCAGCCCACTGAGGGAGGAGACAGGCGGGTAGTCCCCGCCCTCCGGCTGCAGGATAAGTCAGAGCGCCGGCGCCGGCGGTCAGGGGCTGTGGAGCGGGCTCAGCTGCGGCAGGTGCTCCGGGCGGACCTGGACGAGCGCGGACCCGCACGGCGCCGCGCACTGCGGGGAAGATGCTGCACGAGCGGACGGTGCGGCTGCAGCACGGGAGCCGCGTGGAGGCGGTGTACGTGCTGGGCACCTACCTCTGGACCGATGTCTACAGGTGAGCCGGCCCACCGCGCCGGGCCGCGTCCCCTCCGACCCTGCTCGGCCCGAGACCTCGGCCCCAGAAATCCCGAGACCCTCCCCGGGCTCGGAGACGCGGACAGCCTTCCTCCAGCCGAGTTGACCTCATCCCCAGGCCCCCGCGCCCAGAAGTCCTAAGAACCTCACCCGGAAACCTGACAGCCCCCAAACCTTGTGTCAGCCTCCCCGAAATCCTGACACCCTCCCAGACACCCTGACACAGCCCCGGCTCCCTCACTACCCCTTTCCAGCCCACCTCCGCTGCACCCCAGTCCTTCCCACGCGTGAGCCTCGCCAGCCCCTCTCCCAAGGGGACCTCAGCACCGCATCAGCTTCTCCGCCCTCCTCTCCCTTTTCACTTCCTCGCTTTCCCCTCAGCACCTGCCTTCGCCTCCTGTATGCCCTGCGCTCAAATCCTCCTGGCTCACCACCTACCTCAGCCCAGCCCCTTGCCCTGCTCCCGGATCAGCTGAACTTCCTCCAGGACGTGCTGGGGGCTGGGGCAGGCCCAGAGGGGAGCTGGCCCGGATCGGAATCTGGCCCCGGGGATTGCTCAGGCTCGGATTTCGCCGTGTGGGGGCTGCTGGTGGTTGCCTGTCCCCAGGCACTGGCCGTCAGCTCCATGTCCCTGAACACCCTCCCCTGACTTCACCCTGGGTCAGGAAGGGACCTTGTTCCAGATGGTTGAGTGTGCCGAGGAGGGATCTTTGGTTTTTTTTATTTTTTTGTGTGTGTGTGAGGAAGATCAGCCCTGAGCTAACATCCACGCCAATCCTCCTCTTTTTGCTGAGGAAGACCGGCTCTGAGCTAACATCTATTGCCAATCCTCCTCCTTTTTCTCCCCAAAGCCCCAGTAGATAGTTGTGTGTCATAGCTGCACATCCTTCTAGTTGCTGTATGTGGGACACGGCCTCAGCATGGCCGGAGCGGTTCGTCGGTGCGCGCCCGGGATCTGAACCCCGGGCCGCCAATAGCGGAGCGCGCGCACTTAACCGCTAAGCCACAGGAACAGCCCCAGGAGGGGTCTATTGTCAGAAGAGTGCCTCTGAGTCAGAACCCTGTTCCCTCTTCCTCTTCTCCTGTCCACAAACTTTGGTGGGGTGCAGGATTTCTGAGCCAGCAGGACGTGGGGTGGGGGACTTGAGGTCAGGGCCCCAGCACTACCCCCACAGCCCCCAGGAAGCAGCCAAGTACAATGATCCATCTCCCTATAGTGTGTAGGGCGGGCCTCGTGAAGGTGCGGCTGGTGTGAATGAAAGAGTGGAAAGTCCAGGGTAGGATCATGTAGCCCTCTCTTCCAAGCATTTGAAATGTTCCCCAATGCCAGGGTGGGAGGGGTCAGTGCTGAGAGGACGGAGCATGCAGGACTCTTAGGTGGGACCCTGTGCTGATAACCTTGGGTGAGTCCCCTAACCTCTCTGTGCCTTCAGCTGAGGTGGAGGTGCCAATGTGGCTTATTGCTCCCAAATCATTTTGTCATCTGAAGGGTCCTGTCTCTCCCAGGCCCCCACCAAACCCCATCCCTCTGTCTTCCCACACGCCCTCCCCAGCCCATTTCTCTGTCACGTCCAGTGGCCCTGGCAGTCCCATCCAGCCAGTCTCCTGCCACGTCCTCAGCAGGCACTGGCCATGCTGATAGCATCAAGCCCCAGCCTCCTTCCCGAGGGCAGAGGGCCCGGTCACCGTGCGGACCAGGGACCCTCTCCGCTCATCTGCCCCTGGCCTCAGTTGTCCACATGTAAACCTCAGGGGTGATTTCTGAGGGTCATAACACAGCAATGGAGTGTGGGCCGGGCCTCAGTAGCCTGGGAGAGCGCCGCTCCTTCCCCCACCCCCAATCCTAAACTAGGCACTGCCAAGGAGTGGGCCGGGAGCCAGGGCGCTCAGGTCTCTAAGCTTCAGCTGTCACCATAGCCGCCTGTTTGTTCACTGGGGCACTTCTGGTGCAGCCTGAAAGGCTGGCATGGTGCCTCCAGCCGGTGGTGGAGAGTAGAGAAGGGGCCACGCTCAGGCCCCCTGCCCTCCCGCTGTCCTGGCAGAGAGAGGCCCAGGAAGAGTGGGGACAAGGAGTCAGGAGGTGTGGACTCATCCTCCGTCGGGCAGGGGCCACAGATGTGACAGTCCCCTTTGTCCTTTCTCAAGAAACCAGCCACAGCCACAAGGACTCACACCTCCCACCTGCCCTCCACTTAAGACTCTCCCCCACCCCCAAGAGAAGCAGCGTGGTCTAGACCAGCACCACCCGACAGAAATAGAAGGCAAGCCACAAATAGAGCCACAGGTGTAATCTTTAATTTTCTAGTAGCCACAGTTTTAAAGTTAAACAGGTGAGGGCCGGCCCCGTGGCTTGGCAGTTGAGTGCACTTGCTCCGCTACTGGCAGCCCGGGTTCGGATCCCGGCGCGCACCAACGCACCGCTTCTCCGGCCATGCTGAGGCCACGTCCCACATACAGCAACGAGAAGGATGTGCAACTATGACATACAGCTGTCTACTGGGGCTTTGGGGGAAAAAAAGGAGGGGGATTGGCAATAGATGTTAGCTCAGAGCCAGTCTTCCTCAGCAAAAAGAGGAGGATTAGCACAGATGTTAGCTCAGGGCTGATCTTCCTCACAAAAAAAATAAACAGGTGAAATTAATTTTAATGATATCTTTCATTTAACCCAATCTATCCAAAATATTATCATTTTAATATGTTATCAATGTAAAGATTATTAATGAGATAGTTTACATCTTCTTTTCCTTACTAAGTCTTTGAAATTCAATGTGTATTTTATACTTAGCACATCTCAATGTGGCCAACTGCATTTCAGGTGCTCAGCAGCCGCAGGTAGCTGGTGGCCACTGTCCTGACCAGCACAGGTCTGAAGCAGGGGTGCTCAACCTCGGCACTATTGCATTTGGGGCCAGATCATTGTTTTGGGGGGCTGTATGTTGTAGGACGTCTAGAGGTATCCATGGCTTCTAACCCCTGGATGCCAGTAGCGACCCCCCAGTGGCGACAACCAGAAATGCCTCTGGATAACGCCAGCAGTCCTCTGGCAGAAGGACAAAATCACCTCCAGTTGAAAACCACTGGTCTAGTGGAAGGAAGCCTCTTCCAGGACTATGGAGACAGGGCTGTTACTGCTGCTGTTATTCCTGGTGTCTGTAGCAGTGAGAGCTGCTGTCGGTATTAATAATAGCGGGAGACATTAATGAGCACTTATGAACCAAATGCATTATCTCCTCTCTTCCCCCGGCGGACCTTGGAGGTCATGCTGGGATCATCCATTTTGTAGACGAGAAAAGTGAGGCTCAGAGAGGTAAAGCCGTTTGCCCGTGGTCGTGGTCGTGCAGGACTCAGGTTCAGATCTATCTGACTCAGAACTTGTGCTCTTAACCTCCACTCTATCCTGTGTGGCCCTGAAACCAGCAGGTTGACCTGGATGACCCTCTCAGCCTGGGTCCCTTGCACCCTCCACCCAGGCCACAAGCCCACTGCTCCAGGAGACTTCACCCACCTCTTCGATCTTCCACTTCCCACCCGGTCCTTCCCAACACAGACACAGGTCCTGACTCAAGCCCCTCGTGAAGCCCCCCAGGGTCTCCAGTGAGACACCAAGGGACAAGACCTGGTGGACTCTAGGCCCAGTTAGTTAGGGAGGGGTGTCTTGACCGCTTACTCCTGAGTCACAAAGTGAATGAACAGGCCTTAACACCCAGCCCCGTTTCCCAAGGGCTCTGGGCCCCCTCTCCTGAGATGGGCACTCGGCTTCTCTCCCCTCCAGACACACAGCAGGGGCCTCACCTACCCCGTTCCTCAGCAGACCCTGTGGTCCACCCACCCTCGCCCAGCAAATCTGGCCCTTTGGGGATGGATGGCCTGGGCCAGCCACATTCTGAGTGCTGGGCTCCAGCAAGCTATGAGTAGATGCACAGGAAGAAGGAAGTAGGATTCTTTTCTAGAGATTTGTTTTGCGATAGTTGTTAAAGACACTTGCTGTTTCCTTCTACTGCTCCCAAAGGTGCGTGTCTTAGGTCTGGCACATGTCCACCTTGTCCACACAACCTCCCCCATGGTCCCTTAAGCTGGCAGCCACTTCTTCGCTGGGGCTGACCTGGGGCCCCATCTGATTCTGGCGTGAAGTTGGAGAGAGGGCCGGAAGGAGTGGCGTCCCCAGATCAGTTTCACCCTCCCCACCCACCTCTGCTGAGGGATGTTTTCTCTGCACTGGAGTCAGGGTCACCCCCAGAGTCTGGAGGGGTTGGAGAAAGGGCAGAATGGAGTAAAGTAATGGAGTGTTCACACTCTCCCCGACTCTCCCACTGACCTACCAACCGGGCCCTGGAGACACCTTCTCCTACCTCTCCTTGATTTATGCATCTGTCCCGTGGGGGGAGAGTTCTCGACTGGGCAGGTGGCTCCTTCTGCCTGGTGGAGAAGGGTCAGGATCTGTATCCTGAGGTCTGCAGGAGCTGCAGGGCAGAGATGATGTTAACAGCTGTCTCTTGCCTCTGCAGAGCAGTCTCCTAGTTACATCTGACCTCATCATAAGCCGTGAGGTGGGAGGTGGGGGTGATGATACCCCAAGGTAGAGGCTGACTAGCCATTCTCCCGGCAGGGCCTTGCCCATCACTCTCTGGCAGAAGATAGGAAGAGGGCACCAGGGCAGGAGTTCCTAGACGTCACACAGTGAAATGCTGGGAAAACAGAGAAGAGTGCAGATATGGATCCTACCCTGGGAAGAGGCTGGAGAATCTAAATTCATCCCCATCTCCCTCCCTCGACTCTCTCTCAGACTCCCTCTCTCTGTCTCTTGGTTGGTGTGAGTGATTTAGGAAGTTAGAAAGTATGCTTAGGACAAAGGCCAGGGAGGGTCTGCCATCCATTTTGAAGTGATGGGAACTTGGGGTGCCGTGGATGCTGGACCCCACCTCCCAGACTCCATCTCCTGCCAACTCCCCTGCACACATTCCACTCGGCCACATTGGCTTT